TGGCAAAATATGTGAAAATTGCATTTTCTACGAACAAGCAAAATCCAAAGGTTCAGGTTTGTATACTCTTTTGCATATACCAAGTGAACCATGGTTGATCTTGTAATGGATTTCGTGTTGGGTTTGCCAAGAAACAAAGGTGGTAGAGACTCAATTGTGGTGATTTGTTGATATTATATTTAAAAACTAACGGTTATTTACTTAGATAATCTACGTATCTTTTTTCTAAATTACTCATTTTACCGTGCAACATACGGTTTCCAAACTAATTCACGAACAACTTTTAAGTTTGGAGTCGTGCGTACTCATTTTGTCAATTTGAATTGGGCTACCATTTATCCAGCTTGCGCGGTCCTTTTGGGCCATGATGGGCCTAATTTGTTCCTTCCAAAATTTAAACCCAAGAACCAGTCTGACGGACCGCTACTTTTTCCATTTATAGCCCAAAAGGCTTGATTCTTCCGATAGGTATGGCTAAATGGACCCGGTCTGGCCTGAAAATGATGGAGGACCAAGATTGGAACTGATTTGGAACTGGTCTGGCCTGGGACCGACAATTCGGGACCGGTTACAATATTCCATCGAAAACAAGGTCTGGCTCCGGATTGGGACCGGTTAAGGGCCCGACTAGAATTTTTTATTAAAATTTAAATTTTAAATATATTTTTAAGTATATTTTTAAATGTATTTCTTAATGTATTTGATTGAAGACCAAAATGCATTTTTAAGTGTATTTTATTAAGTGTATTGTGTTAAAAAACTGTACTTTTTAATGTATTCGATTGACCCAATTGAATTTTTTAAAGTATATTTGACAGAACAAATTTTAACAAAAACATATTTTTTTATGTATTTGATTGATCCAATTATAATTAAAAAAATACTTATTAATGTATTTAATTGATCCAATTATAATTAAAAAAAATACTTATTAGTATATTTAATTGACCAAATTCTTCAAATATATTTTTTAATGTTAAAAATCAATTTTAGAAAAAATAATAAAAAAAATAAGTGCGACCGATCTGGTCTCGGCTCGAGACCAGTTCTCAAACGAGTCTTATACACCTTAACCAATAACCAGTGTCCCCCATCTAAAAAAATATAAAAGGAAAAGTTAACGTTCGTTAGATGAGAAAATGCTAGGAATAAATCCGACTAAATGGAATTAAGAGATGAAACTCGTTAAAATGACAAGCGTTCGAGACGAAAACCGAGCTCTTAAGATATCATTGTTGAATTCATGTATTGAAAGGAGACAGGTTATTCGTTTTGAATGTCTAGTTACGTATACAGTTTTCGATTATATTGTAAAATGACTTAACAAATGAGAACTAATTAGTTTGTGGTAACTATGAGGTCCAATATGAGCCAATCATTTTATGATATTAATTGTATTACCTTAATTAGTAGGTAAAAGACGTTGTAGTAAAATAATTAATTATAATTTAAATATTTATTTATTTAAAAAATGTATTAATTTAATATTAAAAATGTAGAAAAGAGAGGATGAATGATATTAAATAATAAGTGGCTGATGTGGTCTATACATGGCATGATGTGGGGGTGGAAGTGCTGAATGTTCACTTCCATTCAGCTCTACATCATACACATGTCTCTACTGTCTGCATGCAGCCTTTTCATTCATTTCCAATCGCTACATATAATAACATTAAATTTGGCTTCATTTCATTTTTATATAATCTATTTATAAACTATATATGTATGCTTCTTTACAACTCTTAAAGCTACATCAAATTAAGAGCATCTTTATCAATAAGATGGTTTTAAATCTTATGGATCGGTTTATAAAGTTTAATACCATAAAGAGAAGCGGTACATATCGACACGAAAAGGAAAATGTTCATAAACACCAACCCGGTTTTCGTTAAGTAAATTGGCAGGACTCGATTCGATCGAGTGATAGGCTTTTATGTGAACACAAGATACATACTGTGATACCTACAAACGATATTCATTGTAATACCCAGAATATACATACAAGATGCACAATGTGATACCTTTTGTAAACAAATGAAAATAACGAAAATGCATGTTATGATACATTTCATAAAACAAAGAAAATACATTGTGATACACGTGAAACATTGTGAACATTATCATTATGATACACTATGATTTACAAACGTCTTTAAAATACGATTTATATTAGGTAATTGATATACCAGGTAACTAATTTTAATTAAATATTTCCTTCTAAAAAATGTAATTAAATATTTTGATTAGTTGTCAAAAATAGAATTACCATATTACTCTTTTAACTCATTTAAAAAATATCTTTAAATATCTCAAACAAGTAGTTCACATTAGATCTCACGGTTACCACAAACAAAACAGTTTTCATTTAATTAGACCCGTATATATAAGGGCCTAATCAAATGAGAACTAATTAGTTTGTGATAATTGTGAAATCCAACGTGAGCCAATCATTTAATATAATTAATATTTTGATTATTCAATTTACGTTAATTACTATAATTACTTTAACACACACACATATACACACGCAAACCAAAATCCGGTGGCCTTCTTCGGCCCCCACCATTCTGTTGACCTTCTTCAATCATCTTGTCCGACCAAGACGCCGTCTACGACGATCGACCACTTAGCACCCACCTGTGAGCATCTCCGACAGCTAGCCCCCTCTTCGTCCTCGTCGACCCTACCTCCCATCTCCCTTCCCCCATCCCCACTACTAACCACCATTTCCATCGACACTCCCCTTGATCTCCCCCTCCAACACCCTCCAACACCCTCCATTTGGCAGCACCCACCATCCAGGAGAATCCTCCACTTTGGTGGTCATCTTTGTCCCAACCTTCTTCTCTAACCCAATCTCCTGACCTGCAACACACATACGCACACTACACACCCACACTACACAAACATACAATACACACTATGTACACTGTACACACTCATACATATATATAGAATGTAGGTATCACAGTAGTTTCAAAATTTACTTGGTGTGTTTGTGTATCACATTGTTTGTATAGTTTTTTTGATTAACTTGGATATCCAACCTGCTATGCGAGCCGACTAATTGATCGAACACTCTTGCGCCGAAGATGAACAGGGCTAAGCGATATGCGGAAGCCGTGGGATGTAAAAATACATCGGGGGAGAGATAAATTTTTTTAAAAATATTAGTTTTCTAATTTATCCATTAATTTGTGATTGCGATAGGATCTCAAAATTATCATAAACTAACCAATTCTCCCTTATATGAGGTTGGTTCAAGTGAGACCATATGAGACCACATTTTTACACTTGAAACTTTACAACAAAATATTGTGAAGGTAAAAAATAACCTTCAAAGCAAAAACACTGTAAAGTAAAAAAAAATCTGAACCATAAAAGCAAATATACCTCGAAGGTTCATTCATAATATTGTTAGCCTCATTAATTAAGGAGACGCAAGGAAGGAAGTTATCATTAAGAAGGCCATTGATTTCCCACAAAGAAGAGGCTAGCTTTATGTCTGAATTACCATTTAATCACAATATTTAACAGGTTTTAATTATCGACAAGGTCAATTTCAGTCATTGATAGGACGTTTAAGATAAATGAGGCACATATATGTTTTCTTAGACTTAGTGTTTGGAATGATTAAGTCATTGGAATTTTTTTTAAACGAATAAGTCCTTAGACATTCAAAACATGTTAAATAACTTCTTGGACTTTATAAAACCTATTAGATACATCATTATCACTAAAGAAATTTAACCTACAACCTAGACATCAGGTAATTTTACAAATTTAAAAAAACCCTTAAAACTAACGTTTTCATCCTCACTCTAGTCCCACGGTTGCCCCTCTCCTCCTCGTCGCAACCCTCTCCCCCTACTGTCGTCGCTAACACCTTCAGCCCAATCCGTCACCGTCGCCGACTGTGTGGTCGAAACGAGGCACAGTCCCACGCTCTCCCCTCTCCCCCTCGTCGTTACCAGCAACAACGTAGTCGCTCTCTGGGTGGCTCTATACACGAACCAAGCCGTAGGGAAACATAGAAACAGCAATAGCCAACGCCCAACAGGTTCAAATATTTACAAGGATTGAATCGATTGAATCAACCAAAGACATTTTGGATCCCGATTTCATAAAACGTTCGACCTCTGCATGGCTACGTTCTTCATTTGTTCTTTCTTTTATTGTTCACTCAATCACCGAATTTCTTTGATTCCTTATATAACAGGTTCGATTTCTTTGATTTTGGAGCTCGATTTCATTCAAAACAACAACATCCAAGTCCAAGTAGTTCGATTTAGAGCTCGATTTCATAAAAAATGTTCGATTTAGGGTTCCAATTTCTTTGTTTTGCTTTCATTTTCTCACATAGATGATAATTGATGAGATGATTATGAAAAGACGATGCAGTTTGGCAGTTGGTACTAGAATGGTTAAATGTCTAGTGCTAACTCTAGATGACGATGCTTGGTTTTCAATATAAAGTTCTATAATTTATTTGCTAAATGCTAGATAGATTAACAGGTACAGGTATGGTTCGCTTTTTGCGGCTTCGTTCAATTTTTGTTTTTTTATAAACAAATACAGGTATGGATGCACACAGTTTTATAGGTCATAAGAATATATCTAACAAGTTTCAGAAAATCCAAGAAGTTATTTAACGGGTTTTCATATGTCCAAAGACACATTTGTTTCATCCAAACACTTTATCATTCCAAACACTAAAGTCAATTGAGTTTTTTTACACTTTTCTTTATTTTAGAAGATATTTTTGTATAAAATATTTATTGTTAATAAATTATATAATTATTGATTACAAAAAGAAATATTATGAATATAAATATATAAATATGTGATCTTTATGATTGTTTGTGGTCTTTGGAATCCGTATATATTATTACATTTCTTTAAATCCAACCAACCTTTTCACCATTGTAAATTTAAGTTTACCATAAGGTGCCTCTATATAAATGGAGGTCAGTCGACCACATTGAGTACGACCCAAATCAATGGCTTCTTTTAGCTCGGCCGCCGTTCCCTCCGCCGCTCCGGCCACCACCAACAAGACCAACACCTTGCCTCCGTCGCCACTATTTTCTAAAACTTCTTCCCACCGATTCAAGACTCATGCAAACCAAACCCTTCGCTTCAAAATCTCATGCAATGCTGCCGCAAATGACGATGATAAATCACTCAATAACTCAGAAATCCTAAATCTCACACCCAAAAGATCACCGGACATGCAGAACGTGGACCGGAGAAACTTGCTACTGGGGATCGGAGGACTCTACGGTGCCGCCAATTACATGACTTCCATCCCGTCGGCATTCGCCGCTCCTATCACTGCACCGGACAATATTTCTGATTGTATTGCTGCCAATGCAGGCATAAGTGACAAGAAAGATGCTGCAAGGACTTTAGCTTGTTGCCCTCCGGTGCTCTCAGAAAGTGCTCCAAAACGTTTCGTCTTGCCTAAGGGCGCCGTGACTCGTGTTCGACCAGCGGCACAGAGAGTCACCGACGAGTACTTGGCTAAGTATAACGAAGCACTTCAGAAGATGAGGGATCTCCCAGACGATGATCCACGAAGTTTCAAGCAACAAGCCATGATCCATTGTGCTTACTGCAATGGCAGTTACCGACAAAAAGAGCAAGATGGGAAGCCGAGGAAAGAAATCCAGATTCACAACTCCTGGCTCTTCTTTCCTTTCCATCGCTGGTACCTGTATTTCTACGAGAGGATATTGGGGAAGTTGATTGATGATCCAAAATTCGCTATACCATACTGGAACTGGGACAGCCCCACCGGAATGACGATACCTGCCATGTTCGAACCCGACCCAGCAAAGGGAGACCCCAGAAAAAACCCCATCTTTAACGCTTACAGGGATGCCAAACACCTTCCACCAGTTGTCGTTGATATCGACTATAATGGTAAAGAGCGTGGTGCTTCTTGTATAGACCAAATAAGCATTAATCTGGCTGCAATGTATAAGCAGATGATCAGCAGCGCCACTGATCCAATAAGCTTCTTCGGTGGCGAGTACAAGGCTGGAGATGACCCCGTTAATATGGGTTCTCCGTTGATTGGGAGTATAGAGAGTGGTTGTCACACGGCGGTGCACCGGTGGGTGGGTAACTCTAGAATGCCAAACAATGAGGACATGGGAAACTTCTACTCGGCTGGTTACGACCCCATTTTTTACGCTCACCACGCTAACGTCGACAGGATGTGGAAAATCTGGAAAGGTTTGGGCATCAAAGGACACCATGATCCTACGTCCGAGGACTGGCTAGAGGCATCATACGTGTTTTATGATGAGAACAAAGAGCTAGTACGTGTCTACAACAAAGACTGTGTAGACACCGAACCAATGGGTTATGAATACGAAACGTCCCGAATCCCCTGGTCCAGGAATCGACCTATCCCACGTACCAAGAAGCCCAAGATTGCAGCAAGGTCGGCCGGAAGAGTGAGGAAGGTGGAGGACGTGAAATTCCCGTTGAAGGTAGATCGGATAGTAAAGGTGCTAGTGAAGAGGCCTGCTCGAAACAGGAGCAAGGAGGAGAAAGAGAAGGAGAAGGAGATATTGTTTATGGATGGAATCCGTTTCGACAGTGAGACTTTTGTCAAGTTTGACGTGTATGTGGATGACAAAGACGATGAACCGGCGACCACCGCAGCTGAGAGTGAGTTTGCAGGTAGTTTCGCACAATTGCCGCATAACCATACAGACAAGATGTTCATAACCAGTGCGGCAAGGTTTGGGTTAACAGAGCTGCTGGAAGACATTGAAGCTGAAGATGATGATTCTGTTTTGGTTACAATAGTGCCTAGGGCAGGGGGCAATGATACCATCATTTCCAACATGAAGATTGAGCTGTTTCCCATTGATTGATCTTCATCGATATATACATATATGTATGTGTGTGTGTGTGTAACTAGCTAGCTGTACTTGCATCCATGGATATATAAGTCTGTGTTTTGGTGTCTGGTTAAAGAGGATTTTGGGAGTTCTCTTAACCTAATTATTAATTATGCAATAAGTTTTCTATTTTAGTAAAGTGGTTGGAATAATCTTGTTGAAATAAACCTTTGGCTCATGTTATTTGACGTATATATGTGGCTGAATATAAACAGCATATGGATTAACGTGTCTAGGTATATAGATAGTACAATCTGTCACTATCTTGTGTACATTGGGACAAGGGTTGCATGCATGATATATATATATATTATAAATTATTTGGCTAAAAACTCTTAAACTCGTTTATCCCTAAACGATTTCATCCCTATCCGATTTCATCTCATATCTGAATTCGTGTAACTAACTGCA